TCATAGACCTCGTATCCTGAATCCACTTTCTCTGATGACTTTTCTCATTGTCTTATTTTATTTTACTGTTATTTTAACCAGGATGTTTATGCGGATGTAGCTGATAGAGGCACAGCAGGTGACAAACCTGATGAAGTTTTGTAAGTACGCTTGCACCTTAACTAGCATTTAACATTTCAATTAAATGAACAACTTCCAATTGATTCCCTTTCTACATCTATTGATCTTTTTCAGCAATGCATCACAGGATCTTTCCTTCTTGCAAGCTTATGGTAATGTATAAAGATTTATAAATGTTCTCTGCAATAGAACTTAACTGCTTTTCATTTCACTGTTTTTCCCAATTTTAGGTGTACATGACGAAACTGTTCACACTCCTGCTGCCTCCTTGCTGTCTTCTGCTCCATCAACAATATTGCCTTCTGTCCCTTCTACAAGCGTGCCTTCTGTTCCTTCTTCAAGTGTGTCTGCTGCCACCCAAGACCAAGTTCTTGCTACTCCTAGAAAAACCATTGTGTTGTAAGTAGCCTACCCCTGAGATTGACCGAAGCATTAGAAGTAGGAAGAAAACTAATATTGCTACTTATTTTAATTTCAGGCAAAATTCCACAGCAAAACAGCACAGGAAAACAGCAAATAAAGGCAGAAAGTCAAAGTAAGTCCAGGCTGAAGAGGAGATTTGCTTCTAAGAAATGAACAAAATTTCAGTCACAGTCAGAAATATTTTTTTACATTAGATGTATAACTGGTAACACACTGCAAAAAGCAGATAGATTGAGATATAAGTCGGATGTTCCTGTATCCTGTATGCATTATTAGATTATTGATATTAATGCTAATAATAGATCGTGACAATTTGTTGTGAAAATAGTGAACTCTATAATGAAGTCGATAAGCTGTGAAGTCTTAAGCTAAAAATTCTTCCTATTTTATCACAGAGGCCATGCTCAGTCAGACAGTGATTCAGATGAGTACAGTCGTTCAGCCACTAACAGAAGACAGGAAAATATTGATAAATTGCTAAGTTTGGACATAGGTACATATGAAAAACAGAAGTGTTTACCAGAGCAACTCAAACTATAGAGATAACATAAATGCCATTTATTAGAATAATTTTTAAATTTTAACAGTCATGACCCTCTTACAGTTCTACCTAAGAATGGCCCAACATTAAAAAAAAAAAACAAGGCCAAAGGAAAAGGTGACTTTCTAGCAATACTTCTACTTTCTGACGATAAAATGTTTCAGTTAAACTCAACATGATGTTTTTTTTTTACACTCTTCTCTTGAGCAGAAAACACTGATCCAACTGAGCGGCGAGTAATGCCACAACGTGCTGTTAAGTGCAAGCCAACAGCATTGCGAGCCCAGCCAGGTGAGTGAAACAAACTATACCTGAAAATACAAGAAAGTATTCATGGGATAGGAAGTCATGTAAATGGTAAAATGGCTATTTAGGAACTCACATCATAATTTTGTTTGCTTTCAGAGAACAGCGATGACTTTGATGAATTTGAAGATGAACCGGATCAAGAAGTAGGAAGTGCTGAAGATGGCAGGAGGGGTCTCTTTGGTGAGGCAAACAGCGTTTCACAAAAGGTGATGTTTTGTTTCTAGCATCCACTCAATACCTCACTTTGTATTTTTTTGGTGACTTCTCCATTTCTTTTCCAGAAAACTGTTTCAAGGAGACCACGAGAGAAGGTAAATTCTTAACTAATCTTCAGTTGAATTTGATTCTGCAAAATAACAACACTATTTAATTACAGATATTTCGTGACATTGGGCAAAAACTAAACGAAACTGTGGCACTTCCTCAATTCCCAGAACATCTTAAGGAGTCTCTGATGAAGGGTCTAGTGTATGTCCATCAAAATCATACTAAAGCAATGAATGACTTTCTAATTAAACACATGATAAAGCAAACTGGTGGAACATACTTAGAAAAAAAGGAGCTCCAAATAATAAAAGCCCAGTTTGTTGAGCGATTAAAAACTATGGAAATGGATGAAGATCTGGTTCAATTTTACGGGGTGAGAAAAGTCAGTTTTCTGAATTGTCTGTACTCTAAATGGTTATCTGAATCTATGAAAATTTTCTGCTTGCACAAGGAAAATATCATCCAAAAATTGAGTAATTCTACGAGAAACAGGAACAGCCACATCAGAAACAGGAAACCAAGGTTAGCAGCAGCAAGAGCAGCTCGGCTTCTTTCACCACCACAGCGAATTGAAGAGTAAGATAAATACCATTTCAACCTCTTGAATAATCAAACAGTGAGATATAACTTGTTCTTCCTTTGTATAGGCCTGATGAAGATGAGAGTGAAGTGGCAGAAAGATTGCTGCGTAGTCCTGTTTTGAATAAGGAAGTTGTTAAGAACGCGCTCAGAAAGACACAGGAACGGGAGTCTTTTATTAGAGCAAACCCTGTCACAGAGACAATGTTAAGGTACCCATATCTCTCTGATGCAGAATTGGTAAGTATCAAGACTCTACAGATAGAAAAAACCCTGAGTTTTTCCTTGTGAAAAATGTAGTACCCACGTAACTGCTATTTGCATGTTTCTATTTCAGTTAGTTGAAGACTATGCAAGCAGAAAGTCAATGGAGGTCATAAAAATCAAGATGAACTTTGAACTAGATATCCTACCTCTTGCTACAGTTTTCAGCAAGGAAGATTGCCCACAGAGCGAGCTACAAAAGCTACAATTAATAAAGGAAATTGACACTTACTTCACTCAAAATGAACAAGATTGGCCATGCATCAAGTTGTGTTACGTAAGTGAAACCAATAGGAATATTTAGTAAAACTGTAGATTAGCAAAACAAGAGATGAGATGTGTTAAATTGGCATTCAATATTATACTCATACCTTGACTCTGCTTCCTCCAGGATCAATGTGGTGGTGTGCCAGTCAGTGAAATTCCACGTGGACAAGCACCAGCGATAATAGCTGTAACAAATGACAAAGATATAACTAGTGTCCACCTGGTGTTTAATGGTGGTATTTTAATTTCACATAAGCAGCCAACAGCATTTCTAGCAACTGCTTTGACCTTAGGTAGTTACTATGTCTTTGACATAAACTTTCCCGATGCATACATGAGGCTACTTAAAGTGCTTGACTGTATATTGCACAAAACGGAACCAAGCTCCAGAGATGAGACAGATGTAAAAACCTTCATGAAGAAAATGAAAGAAGCAAGAAGATTTCTACTCAATTCAATACAGTAATCTTGAAGTAAAATATGCTCAACAGATAAATATTAGAAATTGTAAAAAATATGTATAGTTTCAGTAGCTTAAAAGAACAGTATCCACAATGAATTTGTTTGTCAGGAATTGTTTGAATAGATACATGGTATCCAAGGAAAATGATCACTTCCAATAACATTCCCAGACGGTTCCCAGATAAGAAATTAAGACTGATGTTATTATAAACTTTAACTTCAAAAATGAAAAATTTAATTAGATATAAAATTAGAATAGGAAATTAATTTATCTATTGTTTTAATTATTTTGATAATCTATACAAGCGTTAGGAATAACCAGTTCATCACCTAACAGCGTTGAAATCAGTAAAGATTCCTTAAAATTGTCCAAAGAAAGTTCATTGTCATCAACTGCAATGTAAAAGATTTGATTTTCAATAGAAGATATTTTAGAGTACCTCTCTAGATTAACAAAGAAATCAAAAAGATGAAAAATATGTAATTGTTTAAACCATCACCACCACATATTTCAATAAATATAAATGATTCACATACCTTGTCACTCCTTTTGTAAAGTATCTCACTCAATGGTAATTCGCCAGATTAAAACAAGCAGAGAAAGAGTCAACGGCATTCAAAGAATATGCATTGGACAAACCTGCCACACAAAAAGAAATTATGAATAATGAATCCAGTATAACTGCTAGTGTGATACAAAACTTATCAACTACTTTATTATACTGTACCAGAGTCTAGGAGGTAGAACGATTTTAATTCTCATCACAGCAGATCTTGATCCTGCTCATCCATTTCCCCAGGTGAGGATGGTAATGTACTGATCATGGATCACTGGTACTCTTGTCACATGGATAAGGAATGGGAGAAGAGTGTTCATCAGTATGCTGTCAAGTACAGAATTTTAGTCAAAAGCTCAGAGGTGAATCCTACAAAACAGAAAACAGCAAATTGTTAGACTGGATAATGTGACACAATATAAGGGTGCTCCTAGAATGTCTACTAAGCTGTCTTTCTAGACAGAAATCTCGGAGACAAAGTGGAATTTTTGGGGGGGTTCAAGTTATTAAGAAAGTCTAAGTGTTATACTATTTAATAAAGCCCAACTGACGACCAATATTACAAATTTGATTGGCTGTGGTTGCCAATTTATGGTTTTAGCTTCAGAACTAAGTAAAACATTATTATTACTTCAAGAAAAATATATTATTGGTCGTCAGTTGGGCTCCTATTAAATAGTGTTACACTTCCCCGTTCTGAGTAACTTGAACCACAACAATAATTGCAGCTTGTCTCTGAGATTTCTGTCTAGAATGCCAACTAAGAACAAGACACTGGGGGCACCTTAAGATTTTTAATTTTATTTCACCTGTGTCTAGAGGGTAGAACAATTCTAATTCTATTCACAGCGCTGATCATGGCTCAGTTGGTATTCTTGTCACACGGATAAGGAATGGGAGACGAGAGTTAATCTGTATGCTGTCAAGTACAGCATTTTAGTCGAAAGATCAAAGGTGAATCCTACAAAACAGAAAACGGCAAAGTTGTTAGACTGGATAATGTGACACAATGTCTATAAGATATTTAATTTTACTTTACCTGTGTCTAGAGGGTAGAACGATTTAAATTTTGTTCACAGCACAACCTGCTCAATTATTTTCCCTGGCCTAAAGATGGTAACGCGCTGGGCTCAGTTGGTATCCTTGTTGGACGGATAAGTAATGGGAGTAGGTAGGACCAACTCGTGAATTTGCTCTGAAGGAAAACCTACCAAGCAAAACAAAAAATAAAAAGGTGTTACCTGATTATGTTATTCAAAGTCTATGAGCTATTTCACTTTTTGTACCTTTATTGTACAACTGACCTAAAACAAAACATATGACTATCAATTTTTTGTTGTGTTTTTAAACTTTGTGACAAAGTTACTTTAGTTTGTAGACAGATATAAACTTGTCTTTAAAGACTGTTTGCCTTTGTAAATTAGAAAACTAATTTAAAAACCATAAATTGATGTCCAGGCAAAATACAGATGTTGACTTGTAGTTTCTGTAATTTTTAAAATACATATTATATTCAAGAGGACAAAACTAGCAGACGTACTAAGTTGATTGATCCTCTTCATAAACTGACCACACAAAGTTTCCTTATTAAATTGAACTATGTACATTTCGCATAATGCTAATAAGCAAGAGCTTTCTTCGTATTACTGAATGTCAATCTTGTGATGAGAAACTTTTGTCTGTGTTCACAATATTGAATGTAATGAAATCCAAGCATAAATAGCCCCGAGTCAGAGAAGAAAGCTGGTAGACTACGCAGAAACTTCCAACATCTACTGCCGTCAACGTAGAAACCTGGTATGGAAATGAAACAAAAAAGACAAAGAGTTATTAACTGAGTAAATTTAGATTTGTATCAAAATCTAGCATGTATGTAATTTCTCTTACAACTGATAAGATGGAGAAATTATTTATCAACTCTTAACAAGCATTGCCTGAACAATTCCCTTTCCATGCAAATGCAAAATAAGAAAAACGAATCTCATACAAATGAGAATCTTCTCAGCACAGGCTGCTATAGAATTAGAGAATTAGAGAGTTTGCAGACTATGGAGAAGCCTATTTCACCAATAGGTCAAGCAGAGCTTGGTTTAAATGGGAATTTCTGTAAATAAAAAGGAAACAGTACTATAGCATAACAAATGGATTAATATATACATATTCTATGTTTAAATGGAAGTGGGTGGAACTTACCAGAGGTACAAACTGAATGTCTTGAGTAAGAAGTTTCTAGAGGCTCAGTTGATTTTCATTTTACCAATTAACATATAACTGTATCATAAATTTTTGTCACTATGGTTTTGCTGCTCAACAAGTTTCAAATGCAAACTTCAATTAATTACAAACTGTTTTCAAAATCAAGAAAATTTAAAATCTTGATGCAGTGTTTCTGAAATTAAAAAAAAAAATAAACATGAGATTCAACATAAAGAAAGTTGCAAAAGCTATAAGTTGATATTTTTTTATTAAACTTACCATAAGTAGACTTTTAATTTGATCCAACCACATTTTGCAGAAGGAGATAGGCAAGAGCCTTCCTCTTATAGTTGAAAGTAAATCTTGTAATAGGAAACTTATGACTTAGCTCAGAATATTTGACAGAGTAAATCTCTCTAGAGCATGACACAATATGATAAGCATGTAACTCCGGCACAAACTTTGTTTTGTACCTGTTGTAAACAAAGGCATATTCTCCATCAACAATATAAAGTGCAGAAATTCTTCCAAATACAGTTTCTTCTGAATTTGATTTATCATGCTGAAGCAAAAGCGAAACACCTTCATGCCAACGATTTGAATGTACAACAACTTCTTTAATTTTGATAATACTGTCAGTCTCGCAAAGGTGTGGGAATTTTTGCAGGAGGCAATCTTTCTCACCCAATGTGTCAAGTGAAACTTCTGATCTGCCTTTTACAACATCACCTGCATAGAGAAACTTTCCTGTGTCTTTGTCCTTCATAATATCAGCACTTCTTTCAATTAGGACTCTTGAGGCCGAAGAGAATGCATAGTCCTTCATGTTATGGATAACCGCAGCAATGGAGGTAAATTTACTATGCATCGCTTCAAAATGAAAACAACCATGCTGGCGGATTGGTCCAAAGAGTCTAACTTGGGATCCCAGATGTACGAGGCAATGTAATTTCAGAGTCCTGACTCTAGGGTACAATTTCTTGAAAGAAGAACCAAAGTCATCAACCAACTCATCAATATGACAAATATCTGAGCTTGTTAGTTCAAAGCTCATGCAAAGATTGACAAGTTTAATAAGATTAATAACAAGATCAATTTTTTCTTTTGGACAAACACCATGAACTGCAAAGGGAAGAAGATTCAATAAAACTAGCATTTGTGAACCACTTTGACGTAACTTCTTTCCAGTTAGGTGCTCCTTTAGGATAAGACTTGGTTTTGATGAATTAAGGTGTCCAAGATTCGAAATATTCTGGATAATATCATTGACCACTTCCAACCGAAGTATAGGTTTCATTCTTCTTCTAGCAACTTTAGGTGCAATACACAAATCTTTCAACACTAAACGAATAACATTTTCAACTACTCCCTCAGCCAATAAATGTAGGGGATCTAGAGGTAGACACTTGGTTTCATCAAAGCCAGGAAGCCCAGCTAATAAACATTCACGATTGATACCATAGTTTATAGAAGGATTTTCTGATACCTGCTTGAGAGAAACTTCCACTTCAGAATTAGCAATATCAATATCACTAATTTCAACTTCATTTTCATCAGAAACTGAACTTTGAGTAGCTAAGACCTCTTGCACTCTTGCTCTATGCACTGCCAATTTGCGAATTAATGCAATGTTCTCACGAAAATGACTGCACATTTCTGCTGATGTCACTAAGCAAATTCGACAGGGTCTAAAGGCGGACCATGTCTCTTTGAAACCTCCAAGATTTGCTGCAGCAGGGTTGTCAGCAGCAATAAATAGAAGTATTCCAAAAAATCTGATAATTTCGTTGTTGATGGTCAGCTCAATACCTTCAGTTCCAAGTTTTCTTATAGCCTCCTTAAAATCCTCCATGAAGTATTTATTTCCCTTTTCCTTCGCAACTTTGGTCTTTACAATAGCCATAAGATTAATTGCTTTAAGGGTGGAACGCTTCTCTGGAGGTATGTTAGCCAATACCCAATAAAACATTCTGATATTCTGACTGCCAGACTTCGACTTCAATGCGTCACAAGGGTCAACATCATCTAAATGAGCAGTAAATACTAAAGTCACTTCCTTTTTCTTATTTTGACTCTGAACAACTGGGTGGTATTTGTAGAAGAGACCATCTGTCACTGACTTAAAAACACCTGGTTGCGAGGGCAAAGGGTTCTTTACACATTCCATAATATCTTTACAATGAAGAAGTTGTTCCAATTGAGGAACAAAGGGAACTCTGTAACCAAACTTGGTGGGTTTTTTACAGGGTTTTCCAGCTCTGATAACAGTTGTTGATTCTAAAACAATTTTCTGCAGAGAAACATTGCGACCAGCGCTTTCAATCCGGATGTATGCATCCAAGTATGGTTTAGAACTGACGCCCGCAAATAAAGACTGCCCTTTATATCTATCTATGACAGCTCGAATTTCCTTCACCATAATGTAACCATCTCTGTTAGAGAGTACAGAGTTCATTTTATCCTGCAACAGAAAATTTGGTGGAATTAGAACAAACCGGGTCTCAAAGTGGAAAAATGTTTATCAAAGAAAAACAAATAAATGTCATTACATTTAAAACATCCAGAAATAAGTTCAGAAGTTTATCCACACCGGCTACAATGGCATTGGTAGCTTTCTGGCTAGTCTTGCAATTATCTCTGATGCCAGACAAGACTTGAGCTGCCTCTCTTTGCAATATTTTGGCAGCACTAAGCTGTGGTGGATCTACATCCATGGCTGGAATAGTGTGAGACAA